ACCAAGAAGTGTCTGTGTGTGTGTCGGGGTGGGTCTTCTTGACACCTGTTGCACGAGAAGACGTTCAAAGCTGGGTTCCTATGAGGAATTAAAGGTTTCCCGTTGGTGAGCCTGCAGATGGATCGTTTGTTTGCCATCTTAGTTTAGCCTGTTAGCATGCTAACATTTGGAGTTAGCACTAAAGTCATATATTTAACCATAGAACACACGTTTCTTTAATCCATGTAATGCTGCTGTTTTAAGGAAAATACCTACAGTTTGAAATGTCGATCCTTTTTAACTTTATACATTTTATGGCCATTCCTGCGTTGATTCAATTTCATGAGGTTTGAAGCCAAAGGTCATTCTTGCATGAGGATGTTTTTTTCTCAAACAACAGCGATTTCCTGTCGCACCTGTCAATAAAAAGTCCATCCAACCTGTTTACAGCAGGTGAACTCCAGCTGTGGGAAAGCAGCAGACCCTGTAAGTTCAGCTCTGGTGGAAACTGATGGCAGTTCCAATACTGTTGATACCTCAGGAGACCTGGCACAGCTTTAGTCATCCGCCTGGATCCAGCAGAGAGCAGTAGAGCATAAAAACACTTGGGATACAGTGAGAGTCGTCATGGTAATCCACAACCACAATAATCGTTTCTTTCATCCTCTTCTGTCCTTTATCTGATTTCTCACTTTATCCTATTAAGATTTAGCACTTTCTTTCTTTATTTTCATCATTGTCTTTGTACTCCTTCTCTCCTCTCCTACTTCCTCTCCCTCTATTAGCCACCTCAGATGAAAGGACACGAGATTTTCCGACTTCCATCCCCGAAGGTATGTTTCTGGGGTTGCTCCAATCATGTGGGAGAGTCCTTTCCCAGGTTTTTTTTCCCAGCACAGGTGCCTGCCGCAGTGGCTTTAGTAAGCTGTCTGCAAATGACATTGGTTCTCCTCTGTTGGTCACATCCTGTGTCCCGGATATGATACTGCCATGAGTCTCAGAGTTCCTAATGGAAACACGTCTGGCTTTGGATTGCACGATGTCCTTTTGTGGGAAGACTGTGCTGAAAACAGCTCTATACTTTAGAAAGAGTGTCCAACAAGGTAATCCCCTTATGGGTACACGACAGAATTAGATTTGGTCAGAAATAGCCTCTGAAATATTCCAGAAAGTTTTCTCTTGGATGTTTTCTCAGTGTGTTCCTTGGCAGTTCCAAAAAGCAGACCCAATTTGAAATAGATACTGTTTCTGAGAAATATAGTTTACAGCTGTTAGAGAAGACGGTTTCTAGAATATATTTCAATGTTATGATGATAACTTTCTTTATGAGGATTGTTATGTTCACCTATGGCAGTATTGTGAGAGTGAATACATTTGTCAGGGCATCCTTTGAGCAACCATGCATGCAACAATTTGGAAATATGCTAATGTGTCATCTGACCATGAGTTAAGCTGGAAGAGAATAAGAAACAGCTTGACACAGACGTTTTTACACCACCTATTTGTATAGAAGTACAAACAATCTCAACAATTAAATATCATAGTTGAAACAACTTTGACTACAATGTGTTTTTTCTTTGATTGAAACACGCTTTCATTTAGTAAATGTACTTATTTAGAGATATCTATATAGACCATACTGAGTCACCTCATGAAAAGTCTTAGCTAAGAGTTATTGCTCACTCTCTGTAGTTAGTGGCCTAGAACAATATCTAACTATAGCATGGCCTGTTTTTTTTATTCACATACATTGCTTTCTCTCTGTCTCTCAGCTTTCACTTTCACAAATTTGCCACCTGCCGACTCTTAGACTCTCAGCCACTAGCTCCGGGCAATTAAAAAAAATAAACATAATGTTCTCGGGTCCCCAGGGTCCATTAATCTTTCTTTTTCCTATTACACCATGCTATACCCGGCCTGGCAAGGTGCCTGACCCTCAACAATGGGTAACCAGTAGACACCCACAAATATGCAGCCCCCACTTCGACAGGCAAAATGTAAAAATGTGTCCACAGCAATCTGGTCATATTCACCACAGCTATATGACATGTTGAGATTAAATAGTGATGTGTGGTTATTGGCTTGCCATGGTAACAATAGAGCCCCTTTGGGAAGGGTCGGGCCTGTGTGTAGATGTTATTTATCATGTGCAAAAGTCAAGCAAAATAATCTTATATATCATTTTTCACCTCTAATTAACCATAAAGGCATTTATGCTTGAATGTTGGAATGTGAGAGAGTGCAGGAGAGTGCAGCGAGAGCTGAGGGTCACGATGTCAAGGCCGTTTTTTGATATAATAGCTCAAATAAACTTTTGTGGGTGGGAGTTCTTGTACTGCTGACACTTTCTTGTCAGCACATAGGACTAAATCAGAGCAGGAATATGATCGTAGCAATCATAACAGTTCAGACAAGAATACCTTTGATGTGAAAAGGAAAAGGTTCAAAAAGGCAGAACTCAGTGTCCTCTTTCCCTCAGTGGCACCGGGTTGAACTTTTTTTTGAAAGAATAGACATTTTATGTGGTTTCGTGCAATATATTTCTTGGAAAACGTTGTGACCCTCTTAAAATTGCAAATTGTAATTGATCAAACTGATTATATAAACAAGATACAACTTGTTAATCTTGTATCTTTAGGCGTGCTGTTGACAGCTAGCTGTTTTCCCCTTTCATGTTTAGCTAAGGTTTTTAGCATAAGAGTGGTATTATTTTCTCAATGAACTCTGTAACAAAATGAAGAAGCATACTTTGCAAAATGTCACAATAAACAAACACACAATGGAGCAAATTGCCTTAGTTATTGTGCACATATGCTATAGAAAGGCCAAACAAGTTTGTACTGCTTTATTTTTCATGCCCTGGAAGGGAGGTCATGGCCAAAAGGTAACCATTTCAATAAAATACATTTAGGTTTTTACAACTGAAGGTTAAAGACCGGCTCTTTCCACCCTTATGGGTCAACAGCCTCATCTATCTCTGTGAGGGAGTCTTTTAGAAGTATATTGCTTCCTCAACCAATGTTTGCACTATACTTGTTTAACAGGGGAATTCAAGGGAAAAGCCGAACAATCTACCGAGACATGTTGCCTTAAAAGTACCAAAACAATCACACATTTACACACAGATAACTTCATAAATATCTGTGCTTAAACATCTGACTTCAGACCCTGACTTCGCATGGTAGGATCCTTTTCCACCCACTTCTGGCATATAGACATTCAAGAAGTCCTGGTTTTCTGAAAGAGATGTGATAGTCTGGGAAAGGGTTAGTGCGCTGTGGGCGACACTTCTGTCTGTTTCCATGCTGTAACCTCTTCCCTTCCTCGTCCCACTCTTCCTGTTGTGCAGATGAAAAGAAAAAGGGCAATGATTAAAGAGAAATACTGTACATAAGAAGGCTGTCTAAATACAGTTTCATGAAACCATGACTGTGTTATAAGTAAGAGGAAAAGAGGAGTGAGGACTTGCCAAAAAGCTGTCAATCCATGAAGCTCCAGGTACTTGCTGCTCTGGGAACAGACACACAAACACACTCATTAGTGGGAATAGATGCATGATTTATACAGTATAAACTGTCGCCATTACGAGAGGCTACAGCCCCCAAGAGAGGCACTATTTATCCAGTGTAATAAATTGGATTAATTATATTTGCCTTAAAATGTTCTCACTCTCAAGCTTCGTTTCCACTGTTGAAGAGGCAACTCTGACTCACATCTTACCAAAGGTGTAGAAAACACATTATTTGTCGTCTGAGCAATCATGTGACACCTGAGCTATGGTGCCCAACGCTATGTCTGTGTTCTCCTAATTCTAAATGTATTTTCACAATTTTTCATGTTTTGATATATTTGTACCATTAAGAGAAGCCAGTTTGTTCAAGAAAGACAGCCTTAGGTGTGAAGGAAACTCAGACTGCCTGCCAGAGCTGTGCAGTGGACCAGAACCACTGGGCCATTTATAATCAACCAGTTTGGCTTTTCGTAGGTGAATAAACTCTCAAATGTCTCTTCAATTATATCCTAATAAAAACGTTCACACTAAGCTTCCTCGTATGACTTCATTGGCCCTCCTTTAACATTTAATCATATTGAAATGTAGTATGTCATATTCATCATCTTGAATAGGGTGCTAAACTGTTAACCGTGTTGCTGCCTGTCTATAGAAGGTTCCATAAGGTTACCCATAATATCATTAGGGATGTAGGGATTCGGCTCATCCATCACCCAACTTTTTAAAAACCTAATGATGTATGGGAATGTTGTCTCCAGTTAATGCTAAATCAAAATGCTAATCAAAAATCTATTTTATTTCTAAAGTCCAAATCACCAATTTGCTTCACAGGGCTTTACAAACTGTAGGCCTAACTCTTGTTACATGCTGAATTCAGAGACAGATTTTTTGTTTGGATGTTGGTACATTAGTTGACAACAGTTTGAATAAATAACCAAAAGCTAGGGATTCTAATAATAATAAGAAATATTAAGGATCAGCTCTTTCTTTGTTTGCGCTCCATCAGGGGCTAACAGTAAAAAGGATACTCATGTTCATAGTACATTGGATTGTATGCTGTTTAGATATTATAATGCATTTCCTTGGCTTGTTACCTGTACTCTGTCCAATGAAATAAAGATGAATTTAAAGTAATGGCTAGCATTTGTTTATGTTTTTTTCAGTTAAATCTATGACCGCTTCACTTTTCTGGATAGTAGGCCTAGACCTATGCAGCAATAGATACAATAAAGGGACTGATGCACACATGCATACATGGAACACTGCACTATATCTTCTTTATTTTCAGGGAACTGTATTGTACTCATGCATGAACTCCCAACCAGTACACTTGCTTTTACTAAAATAGCCACCATACTTATTTAAAGAATGCCATTTGTTCAAACCTGTCAGGTTGGATCGAGTTGCAAAGCGCCTGCGGGCTTTCACAGATCTACACAACAGCCGTGTGCCTGCCCAGCTGCTGTAACAGTGATCTCCATACGCATGTGACCCATCCACAGTCTATACAACTTTAACCAGCCAGAGCAGAGGGGCGTGCACGAACAGAGCTGGTCTTTTCACACCAGCAGGGACACCGAGCACCCACCGAGAGATTCACCATGGCCTCAGCACTGAATTGCACACCTTTTATGTTGTTTTTTATTTATTTTTCGTTACTGTTTACTTCTGTATTTTGCGACGCTGATGCAGAAGAAGATGAGCATGCCAAGCATACATACACAGTGGAGATGTTCAACGAGGCGGTGCCCACTGCACCCCACTTTGTCATGTTTTACGCCCCATGGTAAGTGAACACTTAGTTCCTAAGTTTTCTTCAGATGAAGTCAAATACATTCTTTGGCAATGCACTTTGTCTTTTCTTTTTTTTTATTAGATACACTCACCTGAAATACGTTGGAGGGTTTGAAGAATGGGATTAGAGCTAACCGGCAAGTTAGCCGGTATGCTAGTTTGCTACCTTCCCGTTCATTTGGCTAGCAGGGGAGGTTAGCTTATCTGCTAACTAGCCAAACCGTTAGCGGCTACTGTACTTTTCACAGTGGCCTCGGTGCTAAGACTGCTGTTATATCACAGTCCACAACATATTTATTAAAAACGGTTTAGTGAATGTTGAAAGGGAGACTCACAACATAGTTAAACACTCTTTGTGGCGCTATGCTTATTTACAGTTTGTGCAGAAAGCAGGTCATAGTTTTTGGAACTCTGCTGCTTACGTGGCACAAACTGATTGACTGATGCTATGTCGGCGGTTCCGAAAATGGGGTCCACGGACCCTCAGAGGTACTTGGTGAGGTCTAAGGAAGGAACGCTACATTAAAAGAGCGGTTAAAACATCGATCAATTTACTGTAGTGTGAAGTAGAATAACTCGAAGGGGAGAGAGTAAGATGTGTCTGAAGATAAGATCAAAAGTGTTGTCAAAGGATGACTGCAAAAGTTTCAAATATCTTCCCTTGGTATTTCTTCCAGGCCCAAACCTTTGTCCTAAGTATTCCTGCTGCATGCAAAGTCTCTATGGCTTCTCTGAGATTGACCCAAATATCTATCTATTACGAACAGGTTTCAAACTCTAATTTCTAATTTGCTTTTATTTTTCATTGACAAGGATGCACACTTCTTGTGTCTGTTTTCATCAGAGGACAGTTTGCACAATAACACAGGATACTTGTATTCATTTATTTTTAAATGTTGCATTAAACAAAAGATCTTCAGTGCAAGAAATACACATGTCATAACTAGAAAGTAAGAGTTCCTTTTATAATTATTCTAACAGTAGTAGCCTACCATCATGGTATTTCTAAGAATGCATTTTCTCAGATACACCATCATCTCTTTCTCATAGGCCCTAATGTAGCCAAGTTAGATACAATGTGGGCACATTGACTTGAATCACAGATTAGTTTGGACAAAACATGTTTTAGACCAGACCAACATAGATTACGTTGCACACTGACTAAATTGCACTGTTGTTTCTAGGTGCGGCCATTGCCAAAGGTTACAGCCAGCATGGAATGAACTGGGGGACAAATACAACAGCATGGAGGACCCCCCTGTGTATGTGGTGAAAGTAGACTGCGTCCCGGACACCAAGTTCTGCTCAAATGTCCATGGGGTCAGGGGCTACCCCACGTAAGTACTTGATTCATATTTTCATATTCCTTATGTAGCATTGTTTTGGACCTGCCTGCTGTTTTCATCACTGATTGACAGAGAGGTGATACATCAGCCTATATTTAGTTAAATATTCTGCCAGTATCTTAATGACATCCTCTTAAATCTTGAAAGCTGCTGACTTCATGCTACACCTGCTAACACAGCAATCCCTGGATAATGAGTGACAGAAGTTTCAGTACACTATCTTGTTAAGCTTTATAATTGAATTGTCAGGCCAAAATTCATGCATTAAAAATACATTTGTTTTACGTTTAGGCTGAAGTTGTTCAGGCCAGACCAGGAGGCAGTGAAGTACCAGGGGTCCAGAGATCTAGAGTCTCTGGAGACCTGGATGCTGAAGACACTCCAGGAGGAGCCTTCGGTGAGTTGTGATCATTCAGTTAACACCCCAGGTTTATGAACCATTCACCCACAGTTGTGTTCATACATGCTTCTTGTTGTGTGTCCTTCAGGAACCAGAGAGTGAACCAGAGCCTCCTAAAATCCCCGAGCCCAAACAGGGCTTGTACGACCTGACTGTTCTCAACTTCAAGGCACACATAGCCAAAGGTAAAGGTCCAGTAGAAGATATGCTGATTATAACACTTCAAAAAGACTGCTGCTCTACCACTTAACCTAGGTAATAAGTAGTTTGCATATTCTTGTGTGTTTCTGCAGCTGCGCCCAGTCTACAACCGATAACTTGTTTGTCCCTGTATTTAAAACACACTTTCAGTTCTCTTCTCAGCCACAGTCCGTAGTGTTTTCGGACCCCTCCTTAGAGAATGGAAACATTGCCTTGACTGACATTTCAACACGAGCACCAGAGCCACAATCCACAACGTCGGTCAACTCAAACTGACTGTACAACACTTGTCTCCTGTCACCTCACGCTTCTAGATTTTTCTGAAATCGCCTGCAAAAATAAACAGTGCTCACGATAATTGTCTCGTTAGAATTGTGGCTTTTAAGCTCGGCTGAAGTCAACTGTTTTGGTTTTGAGGAAAAATAAATTCTCTAAAAAAGGCAGGATATGACATATGCATTTTTAAACAGTGTTTATAGGTCCCACCTTCACATCTTGGCAACAGAGCTCCAATAAACGTTGTATAATTGGTGGCGTATAAGACGTGTATATTTTCATTATGGGTTGAGTTTGTTGTGGAATCAACTTTTTACATTGCTTCATTAAATCAAAGTCTAAACGCATAGACTTCAGTAAAGTACATAATTGTGCAGTTGTCTATAATATGTCCGTTATTTCTTTTTGCATTTGTGTTACATTTCTTATTGGTTTCCTTCTCTATAAAAAATGTGTTCTCCTCTTTGTTTAGGTGCCCATTTTATTAAGTTCTTTGCCCCATGGTGCGGTCACTGCAAAGCCATGGCCCCCACCTGGGAGCAGCTGGCCACCTCCTTCGAGCACTCTGAAGACGTCAAGATAGGAAAGGTGGGTCCTTCAGATTGTGTACATGATCACAGTTTATTGATCCAAGTAGCCTACTCGTAAAAAAAAAAAACTACAAAAATAAAATTCAACAGATTGTGACACGAGTAAAAACAGGGCAGCCATGAAGCACACCAGGTTTCTCTTTCAGGTCTTTCCACCACATACGCAGTCATCCTGTTGAACAGGACGCTGGTCACATGAGAAGCTGCCTATTTGCATACTTCTTTATTAGACACACTAAGCAAATTTGCAGAGTCAGTGTTTGCATTTATGTTTCACTCTAGTTTAACAACCCATCTTCATATGTTTGCTCTAGGTGGACTGCACTCAGCAGTACGAGGCGTGCTCTGACCACGGCGTGCGGGGATATCCCACACTGCTCTTCTTCTACAACGGACAGAAGGTAAGAAAGGTGTTTTTGATCTGACCTGATAAACCTGACATGTTAATCACAACAGCCATCATTACATTGGCCATTATAGATCTGAGTTAAAGGTGGGGTAGGTAAGTTTGAGGAACCGGCTCGAGATACACTTTTTGTTATATTCCATGGAATGCTCTTAACATCCCGATAGCAATGAATATCTGAAGTGCTTTGACAAAAAATCAAGGCACACNAACCGGCTCGAGATACACTTTTTGTTATATTCCATGGAATGCTCTTAACATCCCGATAGCAATGAATATCTGAAGTGCTTTGACAAAAAATCCATTAAAAAAATGTCATCTGTGGAAGCTGTAAAAAGCACGACCAATCATCTGAGCCGGCCCGGCTAAAATAACTGGATGGCCTACCTGCCTGTCAGCCTTCCATCTGTGCACAAACTGATCTCGTGCCCTCATTGATCATGTGCGCGTTCGTGTGTGTTGGAGGAGGGGCTCTGTGAGGAAGTGGCAGATTTTTTCCGGTTGTGTATTTTCAAATTCTAGCGCACTCGAGCTGGTTTCTCCAAAATGACCCACCCCACCTTTAAACAATGATTAATACTCATCAATCAACCGTCCAAACTAAGCTGTCTTGCTGTGAGAAAAAAAGTTGTTCACTATAATAAGAAATGATCCAATAAGCCTAAGTAAATACGGAAAAAATCAATACGGTATTAATTCTAGCCTGAATGTCTTCTTGTAGGTAGAGCAGTTCAAAGGGAAAAGAGACCTGGACTCCTTCAAAGACTTCGTGGACAACCAACTGAAGGCTGTCGTCGCTCAGGAGCAAGAAAAGGAGCAAGGCAGTGAGGAAGAAAAAGCTAACGAGATCCCCACTGAGGAGCCAGCCCAGGAGGAGGTGAAGGTGGGTGTGAACGACAAAAATAAGAAATGCCACCCACAAGAAATATATGCCTCGGTGCCAACTGTCTAAACGTATTTAAAAGCTGTTCTTCATTTGCTCTAAGGCAGTAAAGTTATTCTGCCTGTTTCTCTCCTCTGTAGTCCAGTGTGTTGGACCTCACAGAGAGCACCTTTGAAGAGTCAGTCGCCAAAGGACTCACCTTCATTAAATTCTACGCTCCATGGTAAGATCTTCTTTTCATTTATTTTAACATCCTGTTTGTAGTAGCACTCGCATGTATTAAAGTGTTTCAGTCAAACACTGCCTCTACATTGTTCTGGCCAAGGATCAGACAGTATGTTATGCCATTAAACAAGTCATGATATCGTAGGTCATACTATGTATAAATATCAGAAAGAAAAGCCGTAGTCATGGAAATGTTAATCTTGTCCAGCGCCTACTCCCAGTCTCAGTCCCTTTGAGTGATGTCATCCCTGTTGTCCTGTGTCTGCTGTAGGTGTGGCCACTGCAAGAACCTCGTTCCAACATGGGAGGATCTTTCCAGGAAGGAGTTTCCCGGCCTCACTGACGTCAAGATAGCCAAAGTGGACTGCACTATTGAGCGCACAATCTGCAACAAGTATTCTGTAAGTATATGGGCGTCTTCCACAAATTACACTGAAGATTCCATCTACACTAAACACGCAGCACTCTTTACTTCACGTGCCTTTCAATCAGCTTTTTCATTTCCTCAAGATAATGTGTTGTATAAGGTGTAATAAAGAAAACACTGAGGTTTTATCACAGAGCCATAAAACACTTATAACTGCCACATACTTGAATTAGATGCAGACTGCAATCCTGAAGCAGTTTGAACAGTCAGGTGTTAAAACGTGTTGACACACATCACTCCGTATCAGCTTGATCACTAAGATAATTAGCATTGTGTACAATATAAGTTGTTCACCCTGCAGAATCGCTGCGTCAGGGTTCAACAGATCAGTGCCCTTTATGTTGTGTTGTGTTTTTATATCCAAGATATGTTTGCATACCAAACATCCCTAAATATCTGATTGGTTTTTATATCGCCCCAGTAATTCACTTTGGAGATTAGATACTTTTGTCCATCAGTCAGCAAAATATCTCAAAATCATGACTCTCCGACCCAGAGAGTATTCTGAAGGGAAGTTATCCTCAACTGTGTAACTAACAGATTTCTGCGATCATAGAAATGTGGTGATTTTTGAAGGATGACAAAGCTCATAGAATACTCCTGTTTTTCAGGTTCAGGGTTACCCCTCTTTGATCATGTTCAAGGCGGGGGAGCAGGGAGAAGAGCATAACGGTGGGCGGGACCTGGAGAGCCTGCACAGCTTCGTGATGCGGCAGGCGAGAGACGAGCTGTAGGAACAGTGAAGACTCTCTCCACTCTCTCTCTCCTACAGTAGCCCAACCTCTCTCTATCTTTCTCTCCACTCGGTTCTCTTCAGACAGGAGTCAGCCAACGACGGACCGCAGTCTGTTCTTTCTCCTGTGTTAAAGACAGAATGATTCAGTGGAGTGTTTGGGACGTGAATGTATGCCTCATTGCTGTGACCCAACTTTAATCTCCTCATGTGGAGAGTACCATCATATTTGCTGGGTTTGCAAATGAAGTATTTCGGACAACCACTTTGCAAGCACTGCTCCATCAATCAGAACCAATATTCACACAGATCTTAATGAAATGGTTTCACAACAGGACAGATGTCCAAGTAATTGTTTCTGATGAACCTCTAAAGCCATTGGAGATTTGCAAATGTTATAAATGGGATCTGTTGTAAAATCACAATTATGGTACTGTCACCTAAATGTGAAGTTAAGTGTTGAATTGAGGGTTTTTATTTTCAAGCCAGTGATGGTCTATCTGACTTAACTCTCAGGGAACCCCCCCCCCATAGTCTAGGAGAAGTTGTGATGGAGGCTTCATTGTCATCACAGGTCTGATAATGGAACAAAGCACACTAAACATTTGAAGTGTGCATCTTCCACATTCTCTGACTGATCTCAATCAGCTTCCCTCTCTCCTCTCCTAGCCTTCAGGGTCTCAGGCCTGGACCACGTTGACCCAGGTTATGTGAAGAGTATCAGGCATTTTTTATTGTCTAACCCAGGTATAAACAGTCAAACACAGCAGTTCTTTTGTCAGTAAAAGTTTTTATGGATAGCACATGGTCTAAGGAACTCCAGTGACAGAAGTATTTTTTTCCTTGCGAGTCATGGGTGCACTACCCATGGATTTTGTACAAAAAGAGTGAATAATGGCAAGTTGTAACGAGATTTCATAATAAAAAAGATTCAAAAATACACTTTTTGTTCTTGCATCGGTCTGTTAATAAGGTATGTGATTTTTTTCTTTTTAATAAAAGGTGCAATAAATAAGCTGAGAATGTACAAGTATTTACAAACAGTCTAAACATGATCACAAATGTAAACAGCAGCTTACCAGAGGTATATTTTGTAATTAATGATTGGTTAGGCACGTAAGGTATTTAAAATCTTATTAGTTTTTCATAAAAATATGTTCTCTAAAAAAAAGCTCCATGTCATTCAAAGCTCACAGTAACATGTTCAATTGGAAAGATGTTGCCACTGGACACAAAACTCAACATCATCATTTGACCCTCAGGGTTGAAAAAGCAACAGGCTAATTTCAGAAAGCTGGCACGGACGCCGTTCTCGCTGTTTTTGACTCCATAAATGTTTTTCCACAATCTCTTGATGGGTTGTCAGGGGGGGAAGCGTTAGTTAACTTTGAGAGTGCAGCAACATGGAAATGGCAAATTGCGGCATGTCCAGAGGATAAGGCCGTATTCTTCGGGTCTTTGGAGAAAAACATCAGTTTAGCCACAACATGCATCATGTCGGCAGCGTGGTGAATCGCAGCTCAGCGTGAGCCCGGCAAATATTGACACTGAGGGGTTATTCGGAGCAGCGGAGTTCTAAAATAGCCTGCGGTCACTTTGGTTCAGTCCATATTATATTTTTGGAGGGCAAATATGGCTTACAGAGAAAAGTACATTTAGGAAAAAAGGAAATATGAATCTGACTCCAAAGTGTCATTCATTTAGTATTAAGTTAACATTAGCGCTGTAAAGGAAATGTTCAGTCACTTGACCAGGCAATGTCACCGACTACTGTTGGCTTTCAGAGCTGTGATAACACCGAGTCGTCTCCCCAGGGTCATGCTGAAAGGTTTTCATGAGTCATTTATGGAGCCTCTCTGAGAACTGATCCGTGGTTCTGTTGTCGGAGAGGAGAAGGGAAAGAAAGCAGCACTCGGACCGGTCCCACAACAGTTCAGTTTAGCCCTCTCCCTCTCACTGAGGGAGAAGGTGCAGTAGCCTCCTTAGGCGTTCACACACACACTTCCATCAACACATAATATACATCCTCCACACTCACTCACATTCACTCAGTTGCAGACCCATGAAGTGAAGACTCCATAGAGAGTAGAGAAGGTGATTGACATCGGGGTGACACTGGAGGGGGAAGTTGCCTCAGGGTGACACCCATAACGGTCCCCTCTTAGTTTATAGACAAATGTTCCTGTTATTAGATGGATGCTTTGAGTAGAACATGTAAAAGATCTTTCAGGGTGTAGCCTCCCTGCGGGTGGAGGATTCGGGCGGGAAGCTGGTGTCTAGTTGAGGTCAGCATCACCCAGGAGTCACTGGTGAAGCTGCAGCCCTCTGCCAACCCGACTTTGAATCGAGCATCATGAGCCCTGGAGGCCGGTGTCAGTGGCAGCCGCAGGCCCGCACCACCATGTTCTTGTATTTCTTCAGAATCACGTTTGAGTTGTCGTCGAAGTAGAGCACTGAGATGGCGTGGAGCTTGGTGGGGGCGCAGCAGGGCTTTGGTACGTTCTCTGGATTCATCAGGTGCACCTACAAATCAAAGATATACTTTAAGCCATTTTAATCTGCAATAGCCAGAAAGTCACTTTTAGTTGTTATGTGATTGATGGTCCTTCATTTTTCATTTGAGTAGCTGCGTACAACTAATTATTCTGATGATGTCAGCTGTGGCACAACATATTATTTTGTGAAAGATATCATTAGTAATGAATCACAACACTTTCATTAAGATAAGGAACTAATAAGACACAGCTTCTTCTTTCTTTGTGTATGCAGCAGCAGAAGCCTGGATTTGTGAGCATGGTGGTGCACTGTGGTGGGTTTACCAGGGTCTGAACGATGGCGTGGTTGGTGGCGTTCATGTGGGCGTTGAGGGGGAAGGAGCATTCTCCATCACAGTAGTTTGCTGCGTAGCCTTCGGGGGCGATGATCCAGTCCTGAGAGAAACACATGTCAGGAATGAAGGAAAATAAACATCCTAATTATAATATTGTCAGATCTGTTAATGAGGTCTTTGTTGGAAAGTTTTCTTATGCTTGCATCATTGTAAACAACTGAATGATCCTTTGATGAGAACAGGTAGTTATATCTTAAAGAGTATACTTGACACGAGTTGGTAAATGCAGTGTTAATCTGGAGTTGAGGACGCTGCTGCTCCTGTTTGTGATTCCTGTCTGTGGAATCGCTCAGGGAAGCAATACTTCTCCCCTCCTTCCTTCCTTCCTTTCTGCAACTCACTGTTTTGCTCCGTCAAATTCTCTGCATGTCTTACCTCCATTTAACTTGTTTTTGTGTTTTTTATCTAGTGTACCTTCCTGTCTGTGTTAATAATCTCTCTACGTCTTTCTCTGCTCTGTCTGTCCAGCTCCCTTTCCTGTGTGTGTGTGTGTGTCTGTGTGTGTGTTGGCAGTCTCCCTCTAGATGTCAGTACTGTGTTAGAAGGATATACGTAACTGGCCTTCTATTTTCTAGACACACACACACACACACACACACACACACACACACACACACACACACACACACACACACACACACACACACACACACACACACACACACACACACACACACACACACACACACACACACACACACACACACACACACACACACATGCTTTGTAATAAGGATTTGTTTTGCCTAAGTGTCATCAACATAGTGAAGTGTAGCGAAGTTAGGCAAGTGCTGAATGCTTACTAGACAAGTATTGGGACATGTAATCATGTTTTGAATAAGAAAAGCGTTGTTACCTGCCAGCCGAGCTCTCTGAAGCTGACGTAGAGCTCATGTCTCCTGCAGGCCGTCTTCTGGTCGCTGCTGTTGTAATCTGCAACAGAACAACAGAAATCATCAGGAATATTGTAATTTCCCAAAACGTCTCACTGCATGACTGATGAGATGGTAAAACACACTCAGCTGACACCCTTCCCTGGGTAAATGATACGCAATTAACCCATACCAAAGTGACTCATGGCATTCAGAATGAGAGCAAAAGGACAACACCGTGCGCCTCATGTAATGCTCAGGGTGGAGACCGGAGCTCAGGCTCATTACAGCGGTCTCTGCGCTGTACGTGCCTCACATTCAGCCACTCTTAAAATCGGTCTGGACGCATGCCTAATTGAATTCATCAGCATTCAAATATTGCTTGGCTCGAGCGCAAGTGGTGACCGAGTGACAACTGTGTTTACGGGCCCTCCTGCCCTGCCGTTCGTTCTTTAATTATCTCTGTTCCATTCTGCAGACAGTCCCAGGTATGGGTTGGGTTTTCACAGGGAGGTCATTGCTGGCGCCGGTCACCACGCTGAAGTCCAGACGGTGACACTGACTTTCCACTGACGCTCACTCTCTCCGTCCCGCCTCACTGATTTAATTGTTGTGATTATTTTTTCTTCAAAAACCTCCCAGACAAAGACACGGGGAAATGCTATAGCTCTGGTACGAGTGCTGTATTCTCAAAAGAGCTAACATATGACCCCTGTGGTGTTGTCCCATAACAACCATCCTATGACATACTAAGTTTGGCTTTTTAGTGTCCCCACGATGCCTTAAGCAACACTTCAGCCTTAAGCCTGTAAGTGATTTAAATTGTAGTTGGTTGCACATTCTTTCATTGCGAGGTTAGTTATAAAACTGTTAAGCAACTAAAACCTTATAGTGGTTGCCTATTTTTGTTGGGTTTTTTGTGTCACTTGTTATTAAGGTTACCATACTGGTTTGTGATCCCCAGGCTGCGGTCAAATTGTCTATTTTGCTTAGGAAGGAAATGTACCGGAAGTTTCTAAGTGGCAGCCATAATAAGAACTAGTCGAATACGGTTGACTGTCAGGAGAGGCGCTTCAATGCTTAGGGAACACCTGACCATCCTTTACTAAACGAAAGAGATAGTACTGTCCCTCAATTCCTTGTGGCAGCTACATTTAAACAAAGCACTCTACAAATGTCATGTCAAATCTTTTCCTGAATCATAAAAGGGTTCTCCTTCACATCTTTCCCTGACCTCATGTCATTTTCCACCAAGGTCAAGGAAGAGCGGTTGAGAAAGGAAATGGGACGTATTGCTTTGACCATTCAACCGCATGTTTAGCCCTTTGGATATTAAAGCTACAATCCACACTGCAAGGAAAAAAAACAATTTACAGCTTTGAGTCAGTGTCAGAGGAACGAGCGAGTGAGTCAGACTGCAGACGGAGGTTTGTCACTCAGTCACAGCCACTCAGCTCACCTACAGCAGCCTTGTTTAGTCAGCTGCACTTGCACACACACACACGCACACACACACACACACACACACACACACACACACACACACACACACACACACACACACACACACACACACACACACACACACACACACACACACACACACACACACACACACACACACACACACACACACACACTCTGATGTTTATCTGTTTAACAGCCAAATCCACTTTCCCCAAGAGATGTAATTGAAATTAACCAGAGCTAGTTGCATAAAGATTTCATCATCAAATCAAATTTCATTTTGAACGGACGCACTGACCGCCCTGTCCAGACAGAGTGTTTGAGCTGGACCTGTCTCAAGTAAGTAAAAGAGACAGACAGAGGGAGGGAGAGCAAGTTGGATTTGTCACTTGGGTTCAGCTCAGATTGAAGTAAAAGAGAAGAGAGGAGCACTAATGCTATCTGAGTTCGGGCTTCAGTTTCTACCATCCGCACCCAAAATGGGCAAGTGTCGTAGAATAAAATAACAATAGTTTATTTTTATAGCAACGGAACATAAATGTGTCATCTGATTAGACGGTTTGATTCTGTAAAAGACAGGAAATGGAAGCTGAGACTGGTCGCGACAAACGGCTGCAGAGGGGGGTTAAATATGAGTCAGTAAGCATCAAATACAGTCAGGTGTTTCCCCAGTTTAAGGTTCCTTCCTTTACAATAGGAAGGGAAATTCAT